GCAAGCCTGCCAGCACCCAGCTAGCAGACCCTGCACCTGGCACGGCACAGAGCCACCCACCCGATGTCCCGGGAGCTTGCCCTGGACCGCAAGAGGCGGGCACCTTCCTGGTCTAGTGCAGACATCGTGGACCTCGTCCACGATCTCCGCACTAGGCACAGGAAAGTGGCCGTCTAGGGCAGGAGAGCTGCCAGCCTGGCCACCCAGGACCAGGTGTGCATGAAAATCAAGGGGGTCCACTGAGACCCCCGACACTGAGCCCTGAGCTTACAATGGCCGTACTGGGTCAGACCAAAGGTCCATCTAGCCCATAGCCTGTCTGCCGACAGCGGCCAACCCTATGGACCCTGGAGGGGATGGACCGAAGACAGTGACCAAGCCATTTGTCTTGTGCCATCCCTCTCCAGCCTTCCACAAACTTTGGGCAGGGACACCACTCCTACCCCCTGGCTAAGACTACTCCATGGACCCAACCTCCATGACTTGATCTCACTTCCCTTTCAACTCTGTTCTAGTTGTAGCCTTCACAGCCTCCTGCAGCAAGGAGTTCCACAGGTTAACTATTTGCTTTGTCAAGAACAACAACTTTCTCTTACTAGTTTCAAGCCTGCTACCCATTCCTTTCCTTTGGTGTCCTCTAGTCCTTCTTTATGGGAACTCAGGAAGAACTTTTCTGAATGCACCCTCTCCACCCAACCCCTGCTTTTAGAGACCTCTATCCTGTCCCCCCTCCGTCTCCTCTTTTCTAAGCTGAACAGTCCCAGTCTCTGTAGCCTCTCTTCATCTGGGACCTGTTCCCAACCCCTGATCATGTTAGTTGCCCTCCCCTCTCCCAGCCTTTCTCTTCCCCTCTCCCACCTCCTTTTCCCAGTCTCCCCCAGTTTTGTTCAATAAAGACAGAGTCAATGTTGGAAGAAACATTATCTTTATTTTGTACATCAATAAGAAGGGGGGCTAGGGAAGGGTAAGTGGAAGGAGGTGAGGGAGGAATGGGGTACGAGCCCCCGATGGGGAGGACTGGGCTGGCTCTGCGGGCTTCTGGGGGTGGAAGCTCTCCTGCAGCCCCCCGATTGCTCCCTCTCCCCAGATCGCAGCCTGCGGCAAGTGCAGCCGGGCTGATGGCCGAGTGGTGTGATGTGCCCAGTGTGGGCACTCCGGGCACTCCAAGCCAGGACTGCTTTGCAAGCGGGGCACCCCTGAGAACTGTCTGTCCGGGGTGGGGGTCGGGACCCTTTAAGCGCAGCCCTCGGCTAGCCTGAGACAGCATCTCCACTCTCTAAGTCCTCCTCTAAGTCCTCCTCTGATGCCAGAGATACCATGCTCTGATGGTACTGCTTCCGGCCATCCTTAAGCCCTGTTCAGGGTCCACTCAATGTGTACTTGCTAGTTCGAATTAGCAAAATGCTAATTCGAACTAGTTTTTAGTTCTAGACGCGTTAGTTCGAATTAGCTTAGTTCGAATTAACTAATTTGAACTAAGTTAGTTCGAATTAGCGCTGTAGTGTAGACGTACCCTTACAGTCCCAGGCTGGATGATAAGGCGAGAAGAAGGCAGTTCATGTTGTTTGATCTTCCCAAGTTGACTCCTAAGCTGGTCTGCTGGCCAAGTGATCCCAGCAGAGGGCGTTCTGGGAGGCTCCACTTGATGGTCAACCAACCGTGTCTCTGTCCTTCTCTCCTTTAAGGATCAGCCACATGCAGCCTCTGAGTCTGTGGGCCTCTTGGGGCCGTGGGCACTCCCTGCTGGGGGCCGTGTGTATTGTTGTTTACTCCTGCTGTTTACCTCAGACATTCTTCTGCACTCACTCAGGGAAGGGGTAGGGGGTTAACAGACAACACTCCAACAGTTTAGGGAACCAAATAACATGATTAACAGGTGAGAAAGAGAACAACAACCATTTTAACTCTCCCCTTGCTCCTCTTTTGCCTCCAACAGGTGCTGCCCAGGAACAAGGGTTGATCCGAGTGGCAGGGAAAGGGCTTCAGCCCCACAGCGGGTGGGGGCCGTGTGGGAACGGGACTTCAGCACCGGGGTGACAAAAGGCTTCAGCCCTACTGGGAAGGCCTCCTGGGAATGGGCTGCAGCCAGCGATGGGGGTGTTCGACAAAGGGGTTCCAGTGCCGGGGGGGAGGGGCGTGCTGGCGGTCGGGGCTAAAGGCTGGCAGACTTCCGCCCTTCTTTAGGGTGCACAAGGAGGAAAGACACTCCTATTTGGTTTCTCCTTTGGCACCCTGCCTGACTCTACACATCACATGCTTTACCATCAGCCACAAACAGGAAGTTGCTGTGACTGCGCTGACCGGGGAACTCAACGATCAGAAGGGGGTGTGCAAATATGGGACATTTTGGTCCTTTTAAAAAAAAATCAGGACACCTGGAAGACAACTTAAATATAGAGCAATCCTGGTAAAAACAGGACGGATGCTCACCCCACCCAAGAACATAAGAACAGGACTAATGCTCAATGAAGATACGATGTACCTTTCTGACATAGTGCAGTGTAGAATTGCTGTCAGGGGTCCATTTTCAATTTTCCCAATGATGACTTTTTGCCTCAGATTGGACAGCTAACTGCTCACTTTGTTGATTTTTGTGTATGCAGATTTACAGGGCTCGCCAAGTGGCGGTGAGCCCCACTCGCTAGCCGCGCGGTTTCGCACAGTTCTGCGCTCTGCACATGCGCAGATTGTTCTGTGCATGCACAGATCATTCTGTGCATGCACAGATCACTTTGCGCTGGCTCTTCCAGGTTGTAATCTACTCACCACGGGCGAGTAGATTACATTATTTGTCAAGCCCTGCAGATTTAGGCTAATGTATCAAATATGCCAAATTTGGTTTTTGAAGTTTGGCCTTTAAGGCCCTGTAATTTAATCACTAACTTTGCATCACCACCATAATTCTTTATTCCAGATAGCTCTAAAATGTCCAGACCCAAACTGAAGGGGAGCAGAGGGAGTGCAGATCCACTTTTCACATTCATAAATTGCATATTCATCTGTCTACACACAGACAGACTACAAAAGGGATGGAGAGTATTTCATTGCTGGAGGTGACATTGTCCAAAAAAGATGTAAAATTAAAATGGAAGGTGCCAGGGGATGAAAAAAGGCCTACTTAAATAAATGTGTTATGTGTAGGACTTTCCAGAGGAGTTGAGCAAAAGGAACAGTTTGCCCTGGGTTCGTTGTTTGAGAGGATCCCCAAGTCCATGGAATTTGTTAAGGTCACAATGTTCACACCTGAATTCCAAAATTAGGAGGCCTAAAGGAGAGGTCAGATTTTCAGCTTGGAAGCTGTTAGTGGCATTAACTCCTTTTGAAAATATCTGCTCCTTTAGATGTCCAATTTTAGAGACTTACATTTGAAAATATTGGCTTTTGCGAATGTCTAAAGCCACAGAGCGGAATTTGAGAAATCCAGTGCAAGTGACAATCCTTTTCTAAAACAGTGGGAATTGGGGATTATAGCCACATTAAGGTGGAGCACAGCCACTGGGACATCTCTCTCCAACTTTTCATTGTCTACTTGAGGTTTCCATTAATGTGTCTGCAATAATCAAGTAGAATTATATTTTACTTATATAGATGTGCTTTTTCTCTGTAATGAACTGGATTAGAGAAGGAAAAGAAAATGATAAAAATATCGACAAATGCCATTTCTATTAATGAAAATCAGATTATATAAAAATAAGAATATTCTCATATTTGTAGACCTTTTATTTTTAAGTCCTGGAGTTTGATAGCTGTTTGGTCCTCACTGTAAACTCTTTTTCATTTCAGGTAGGAATGAATTAATAGCCAGATACATCAAACTTAGAACGGGGAAGACACGGACCAGGAAACAGGTAAAACACCCAGTTGAAAAGTGTGCATGTCAGCAAATGACAAAAAAATGGCATTTTTTGGCTGCAGTGGCTGTCGGCAATTCAGCTCTAATAAGATGATGCATTGATTTCACTGTCATTAAGTATGTACTTTTAAAAAATCCATTGTTTGTTTGGTTCATTATTTCAGTGACCCTTTATTGGGGACATTCCATATTAATCTTTATATATGTCGCTATTGCCTCATAGTGAAAAGGGCATTTCATAGGACAAACTATTAACATAAGCCATATTACTTCTTGCATCGCGTGCATATAAAGAAAATACAGAATTTAACAATTGTTTTCATATAGTGAGTAATGGAACAATTAGATGTCTGGCCACATCACCTAAACAAGAAAGTTACTTGCTTAGAACATGAAAAATAAATAAGTAATGAGTATTCAAAGTACTGGTTGTACTCATGCTCCCTCTTCATGGCCAGTGGTCACAACAGGCTGAAACAGAGTTATTTCCATAAGAGTGATGGGTACTGTTGTGTAACTGTAGTAAGATTTTAGTCATAAGTAAGTCAACCTAAACTTCTGTCTTTAATCTTTTTCAGAAGCTTATCCCATATCAGTTATCATATCCCACTAGATCCTTTAATTGTTATTAGGGATGTGAGGGTATGTCTACACTACCCCGCTAGTTCGAACTAGCGGGGGTAATGTAGTCATCCGCACATGCAAATGAAGCCCGGGATTTGAATTTCCCGGGCTTCATTTGCATGAAGCTGGCCGGCACCATTTTTAAATGCTGGCTAGTTCGGACTCCGTGTCACACGGCTACACGCGGCACGGACTAGCTAGTTCGGATTAGACTTCTAATCCGAACTAGCTGTACGCCTCATGGAACGAGGTGTACAGCTAGTTCGGATTACGAAGCCTAATCTGAACTAGCTAGTCCGTGCCGTGTGTCGCCATGCGGCACGGAGTCCGAACTAGCCGGCATTTAAAAATGGCGCCGGCTGGCTTCATGCAAATGAAGCCCGGGAAATTCAAATCCCAGGCTTCATTTGCAAGTGCGGATGACTACATTACCCCCGCTAGTTCGAACTAGCGGGGGTAATGTAGTCATCCGCACTTGCAAATGAAGCCTGGGATTTGAATTTCCCGGGCTTCATTTGCATGAAGCTGGCCGGCACCATTTTTAAATGCTGGCTAGTTCGGACTCCGTGTCACACGGCTACACGCGGCACGGACTAGCTAGTTCGGATTAGACTTCTAATCCGAACTAGCTGTACGCCTCATGGAACGAGGTGTACAGCTAGTTCGGATTACGAAGCCTAATCTGAACTAGCTAGTCCGTGCCGTGTGTCGCCATGCGGCACGGAGTCCGAACTAGCCGGCATTTAAAAATGGCGCCGGCTGGCTTCATGCAAATGAAGCCGACAATAGGAACCGAGCATCCTGGCTCTTACTATGTTTTAAATTGCAGAGCCACAGAAGGGTTTGGTCCCCAACCCTGTGCGAGCAGGGACTAAGCAGGGCTGCCTGCCTGCCCAGCTCCTACTAAATTTAGGAGCCAGGCAGGCAGGCAGCCCAGCTCAATCCCTGCTCACACCAGGTTGGGAACAAAACCCCGCTGTAGCTCTGCAATTTAAAACACAGTAGGAGCCAGGGGCAGGCTGCCTGATTCCTACTGCCTTTTAAATTACAGAGCCTCAGTGGGGTTTGTTTCCAGTACAAGCCAGGATTGAGTAGGGCTGCCTTCCCCTATTGAGTAATCAAAAGTCGATAGAATTTTTATCAACTACTTGATTACTAAAATAATCTATTTAACATCCCGAATTGTTATCTCCACAGTGTTTAGCTGTCTCACAAATGCACACATAATCATCGTGTAGTTTGAGTTGAAGTTACTAAATGGGTATGGAAAAAGTTAGCATATTTCAGCATCCCTTTCCTTGAGCGCCACCTTCCAGATCTCCTTATCAATGTGTGTTATGGGGAGCAGGAAGAAGAGGGAGAAACTTTTTTGCAGGCATGCAATGCATCTTGTATACTGTGATGAAAAAGAATGCTGACTCAGCATAAGCAAAGCTGGCCTGCTGCCAATGCTTGTATTTAAGGCATGTTGAATTGGGTGACATTTTCCCTCCAGTAATGTTCTTTGTCAGTTAGGAAGCAATGTAAACTACAAGGGAAGAAAAAAGGCCATGAGGAAAGAGAGAAACTGCAATTCACAGAGAATGAACAAACTACACATTGACAAAGAATCCATCGTAAAGGAAGCTCCAAGTTCTTTTTTATTATAGCTGGGCAACCCCCATGATGGGGATGTGAGCGACTAGTCGCGTCCCCCTGCTTGCTGCCTCTATCAGGGAGAGGCAGCAAGGGGGCAGGGAGCAGGAGCCGGTTCTGGGGGGAGCTGGCTTAAAAGCAGCAGCATCTCCACAAGAGGCAGGGGAGGCAGGGGCACAGCGGGGCCCCCCCCCCCCTGCCTCTGTGGCAGCAGGGGGGGAGGAGCAGGAGCCGGTGTTAGGGGGAGCTGATTTAAAAGCTGATTCCACACCAGCACAGTCTCTGGGGTGCTACCAGAGGCAGCAGGGGCAGGAGGATAGGGGAAGCTGCTGTGAAGCTGCAGGGGTCCCAGCAGGGAGTCTTGTCCACCATGAACAGAGGCTGCTCTGGCACCAGCTCTGTTTGTGGCAGCCAGGGCTGGCCACAGACACAGACAGAGGTTGCTGTCGGAGCAGCCCCACCCGTGCCCAGCTGTGGCTACCAAGAACAGAGGCTGCTCCAGCAGCAGCCCCTGTTCACAATGGACATGGGCTTCTGGATTTGGCTTGAGCCAGGGCTGATCAGTCCCAGCTCGTGCTTGTCCAGGACGTTGCACCTCTGCATTTTAAATGTAGTAAGATCCTGCTGACTCGTACTACAGTTAAAATGCAGAGCCGCGGAGTGCGTGGCTCCCAGAGCTGGCACGAGCCAGGACTAGTCAGTCTGGTTCAAGCCAGCTCTGGGAGCAACCCCCATTGCCACTCTACAGAGCACTCCTATCCACCAGCTAGGCAACCGCAATTTAACATCCTTACCCCATGAACTTGGGGTTGCACAGGTGCAGTTAGCAGCACGTTTTGGCACAGTGGTTTAAAGCACATGACCAAATCCTCAGCCAGGGCAAATCAGCCTCGCTCCATTTTCATCAATGGGGAGGGGTTGATTTATACATGTGCGCACACATATGTGGAACACTGCAGAATGGTGCATACAGTGTAACCTTTAACACCATCATCCTAAGAAACTGAGAACAAAAATTACCATATGTGAAAATTATATATATATGTTGAATTATCAACTTGCTTACTAGTCTGAGAAACTACAGACTCTTGTTCCTGGGCTTCTTCATTAAGAAGCTGGATAAAGTTGGCCTTCATGAATCAGAATTTGTTTACATATTACAATACAGTACATTTTTTCCCCTTGCAAACAAAAGTTGCTCTAAGGTACCACAACAAAAGGATTTTTCTAAGTGAAAATTTTTAATCCTTTCTTTCTCCCTCCTTTTATCTGTCAGGTTTATTTAGATTCAAACCTGTTCAAGGGTGGGACGGTCTCTTCCTGTGTGTCTGTGCAGCACTCAGCACTGTGGGGCCATGTCTCTAGGTGATACTGTAATACCAATAGTATGGTGCAGTGTTCCCTCTAAGATTTCCCATCTACGAGCGGAGTGAGTTATGTCTTGTACACCAACATGGACATCATGTGTGTTTATTTGGATGTGCACCACCATGACACCCACCAGTTACTAACAAAATTTTTATTATGGATACACACATGCGCATGCGCGCACACGCAAATATACACATTTAAATTGTTATATAAGAAAAAATACCAAACCAAGGGCTAATTAACAAGGTGCATGACCCTGTGGTACAGAAATTGGGGGACAGGAGGTGGGAGGTATGGGGTGGCTCAGGGGGTACAGGATTCAGGGCAGGGGGAACTCAGGATGGGAGTCTAAGAGGTTGAGGAAGTGACAGCTCCTCGCTGGGGGGACACTGGAGCTGGGCTTCCCATTCTTGTGGGGGGTAGGTACAGGACTGGGCTGTCCGGCCTCCCACAAAAATGCTCACATGGGGGAAGAAGGAGAGCAGGGCTGGGCTGCCCAGTACTCCCAGCTAACTGTTCCTGGGGTAAGGGTGCCACCTGGCTTGGTGCTACAGCTGAGATCCAGGGGATAGGTTTGGGGGACACACAGCGACTCCGGGCCTAGACCTGACAGTGCCACCCATCACATGGCCACTCTGGCCCCAACTGAGAGCAGCAGCTGCCACTCGCCATGTGGTGGCTCCAACTGGGGCCACCCGAGCAGCTGCCCCCCGCCACGTGGCAACTCCGGTCCCAGCCAACCAGCCACCACCTGCCACGCTGCAGCTCCAGTCCTATCTGGGGTCTTATGACCAGTCGCCACCTACCATGTGGCAGCTCTGGTCCCAGCCGACAAGCTGCCGCATGTCACACTGTGGCTCCGGTCCCGGATGCGGTCTTATGACCAGTCGCCGCCCACAGTGCGACAACTTTGGTCCTGGGTGGGGCCGGCCAAACAGCCACTCTGGTCCCGGCTGGGCTGCAGTGTCCCACACGCTGTGGTTGGAACTGGGGCCGGTAAGGCCGCTCACGCAGGAACTGCTTCAGTGCACCCTGGCACCAGCTGGAGCAAATGGGGGTATGGCAGGCCAACTGCTTGCCACCACGCAGCACCGCCGGAACCCACTCGGCCGCCAGCAGCACACTCACCTTTCTGTCCAAAAGGAAAGTGAATGGTTGTGAGTGCTGCTGCAGGCGAGTTGGGCGGGCCTAAAATGTTTTGTGCACGGCCATGCAGGCATGCAGCTTAGAGGGAACCCTGGTATTGTGGTAGAGAAGTTTCTCTATCATTTTTATTGTTGTTGCCGCTTAGAGAAATTCATATTGGGCCGAGCAACTCTCTTAGAGGTTGATTGTGCTCTCAGCTTCTGTTTTAGATTGCTTGCTCTTAAAATTTGGCAGGATTTAAAAGTATAAGCTGGGTTCAAAATTAAATGAAGTCATGGAGTTTAGGTCCAGCATTGGCTATTAGCCAATATGGTCAGCTCTGTCTTCTGGGGGTCCCCAGACTTCTGACTGCCAGAAGGTGACATGAAATGACAGGGACTGAATCACTTGGTAATTACACTGTTCTGTTTACTCCTTCTGAAGCATCTGGCACTGGCCACTGCTGGAAGATTGGACAGTGAGCTAGATGGTTCTTCGGTCTGACACAGTATGGCTGTTCTTATCATGTAATCCACTACCATCATCATAACACATTTTAACACATGCTTGAGAAAATGTGAATGCAAAACGTGGCCCCCAATCCCTCTCTCATCAGTCAAGCAAAACTTCCAGAAAAACTAGACCCAGGAGCTGGATGCAGCCCCCAGCTTGCCTGGATCTGGCCCTGAGGGCTCGCGCTGGCGCTCAAGCCCCCCGGCTGCTCCACCGCGGGGCCGGAGAACTTAGGCTCTGGAATGCAAGAGGAATGAATGTGGGGAGTGTCTTTCTCCTCAGTGGGGGCCACGTTAGCATGTCAGTGAGGGGTTTTTTTCTGTGCACTTGTGTGTGGCCACCCACTGATTTTTCTGTGGGTCAGTGGCCCCCAACCCTAAAAAAGGTTTCCCATCCCTGTTATAAAGAAATGCAGTATTCATTTGTATTTCCTTAAGGTCTATAAGATGTCAATATTTTATCAGTTGTATAAATGAGCTCAAAACACAGCCTTGGTGTAATCATTTGAAATCATAGAAGATGATGAATTATTGGTAATATTTCTTGATGCTGTGCCAAATAAAGTCTCTCGTTCAATGCTGAATGCTGCAAGGGCCTGGTTCTGAAACCTCTCAAATATGGTTAGGCTTTACTCATGCAAGAAGTCCAATTGACTCTTTGCATGAGTAAAGGTTCTTTGGCTGTCTGTACTAGGGGTTATAGGATTTGTTACAAAAGAGGAAGCGATCCACACCCGATTCAGAACAATGTCATTGGGTCTTTTCCGTAAAAGACTATTTAACTTGATAGATTAAACTTTTTCTCCGTAGTCAAGTCACTGCAGTCATGGCCCGTGTTGTTAAGCCTTGATGCTAAGAATTTGGTATGTGACTGGGAATGTGGTATCTTTAAAAGCAGCACTTACTGAAGATGCAAATAACTTCCCCCCACAAAAAACAAGTAATTTAAAAGAAATTTTAAATTTGATTTCCTTTTTGTTTTTCTTTTTCTTTTTTCTTTTTTTTCTTTTCTCTCTCTTTTTTTTTATAAATCTGAACAATGTAGGTGTCTAGTCACATACAGGTCTTAGCAAGAAAGAAAGTTCGAGAAATTCAAGCCGCCATTAAGGTACGTTTGGCTTGCCCAGTTGTAGGGGGCTTTTCATCTCCATGGTTACAGGCTTTTCCTTTGTTTTCCTCCCTTCCCCTACCCTGCAGGTGTCTAGTCACATTCAGGTTCTTGCCAGAAGGAAATCTCGTGATTTTCATTCCAAGCTGAAGGTATGCGCTTTTCTGCTTTTGGGCTTGTGGTTGCTATGCATTTCATTTCCTGTTTTCCATGGTGATTGGTGAATGCCTGGTGCTGTGATTCTTGTAACCTAGTTTTCTTGCATGTGGTAGCTGTTTACATTTCTTTGTGTTTAATCTCTGATTCTGCACTAGCATCCATATTAAAAATTTTAACACTATCTAGATATAAAGTAAGCTATTCTTGTAACTACTCAGCACATAAACATGATTGTTTTTAACCCATTAGTGTTTTAACAGCTAGATTGTTAGTGTATTTAAATAAAGGGAGGAGGTTTTTTTGTGCGCTTGTTCACAAAAAAACATTTCCAGAGTGGAAATTAGGATTGTGATGCTTCTTTTCTATTCCAAAATGCTTTTAATCTGTGCTTTTGAAATACTTTCAAGAATGCTTAAAATAGATTTTTTAAGAACTAGATAGTATAGTTATTAAGTTTGCTTTGGAAACTGCAGGCTGAAATTTCCACAGTACAGTCTAATATAACTTTAAATTAACTGCTGTACATGATTCCCTGAAGATGTATTCATTTCTCAGTAAAATATTAATATTTATCGTGGTTAATTTTTGGAGAGTCTCAATCAGAATCATGTTTGGGGAACATTAATATGTTTGCTTAATCTAACTTGATGCAGCATATCTGTCCCCATTTTTCCACGAAAGATCTACCAAAACTAAAAGGAACCTCTTGGAAATGTTTAATAAGGATCTTTGCAAATTTTCCAAGGGAGATCTTGTGTTACATTTGCCCAACATTATTTAGAAATCAAGGAGGTTTTAGAGTTTTGTAAAAAAAAATTCTGTTTACAAAAAGCAGAACAATTTATAAATCTTTTATTTTTCCCACCTTCTTTCCCCTGCTTTTTGCTGAGTTGTTGTGGGTTGCCCCCATCTTTCTCCCTCTCCCCACCCTGCAGCCATGGGGGCTATGTATGAGAACAAATCATGTTTTTGTTCTAGCTGAAAAGCAAAATATTTCAGAAAATAATTTCACAATACAAAATGGTGAGTGCTGGGACCGCTTACCACAATTTTGGAACTGCAATATGTAAATAACAGACTGGCTTTGTAACAGGCCTACTTGATGGAAGCATTTGGTTTTCGATGTGCAGTGGGCAGCATGCTGGCAAGCTTGTATGGCTGTGGTGGCTGGCTTTTTAGCTGCACTGGCTAAGCAGTTGGGATTGATGAAGAACTTAAACATTAAACATACTGCTTTTTAACCAAGGGTGCAATAATACAGAGAGAAGTAGCAATTTAGGCTAAAATAATCAAAACTGGGTGCTTAAATTTTGGTACCCAAACCCATATTTAAGTATCTAACTAAGTGGCCTGAGTTGCAGAGGTGCTGAGCTCCTAAAGCTCTCATTGACTTAGGTAGAAACTGTGAGTGCTTTGAAAAGCAGGAAACTTGTTTAAATGTCTACATCTAGACCTAGGCACCTAACTAAAAAAATGGACATAGTGATTGGTAAACTTTGGGGAGGGGGGGTGACACTTTTGTCCATACTTTAAAATCTGAAAAGACAATATTTTAAAAACAGAAATATTCTTTATTACTGCACCTGCTGTACAACTCCTACTGAAGCTTTTTCACAGAGCAAGGCAAAAAACTCAACTCCAGCGAGACTTAAAAGTCCCCTTTTCTAGTTGACTTTCAGTAGGCACTTAGCATAAGTTGAGATCATAAAAGTATCCTGGTAAGGCTGTTATTTAAGGAGCTGTGTAAAGAAGGAACAGACATCTAGTACAACAATTTATTGTGTCATGATTTCTTTAATTTCTACACTCTCAGATCCATCAGTTCAGAGTGATGGGTTGCAGTTCTAACTGAGCTAAGTAACAAGCAATGGACCAGTGAAAATTAGGCCACCCTTCAGTTGCTAAGAATTCCCTTCACACTCAAGCCTCACAATCCCTGCAGCTCTACAGAAGACAGTTGCTTCAAGTCTGTGGAAGAATTACACAGCAAGGATGAAGCAGTTTTTAAAAGGGCAATTTCAGTTTTCACAATGAGCCTTGTGGAAGGGGAAGCAAAAGGAAGGAAATGTATCCCTAAGAGTCACAGTTCCCTCTACTTTCCATGTACTCCATGGTGGAGAAATTAACTGATACCAGAAGCAAATTGTGATCAAGTCCCTTCTGACAAATGCATGTGGGCTCAAGTATGCTTGGGGAAGAGGCAAAGCCAAGACTCTGCTTATTCTCTGACTGCCTCAAGGGAAGTATTTATATGGTACTGAGAATACTGTCCTCCCTATATGACTGACTTTTAGGAGGAAGTGACACAGTTTGACTCCTCTCTTGTCCAGAAGAGTGTCCAGCACATTGAAAAGAAGGAGAGGAAGAGGAAAAACTCTGTCCAAGCAGATGGCCCCTTACTCATGGCATTTCTGTGCCTGTAACATGGCTCCGACTCTGCCTGCACATTCATATCTAGACAAATCGTCACTGCCACTTCCCTCTTCCTCCTGTCCTCCCCAAAATTGGAAGAACTGAAATTTTGAGGAAGAAGATTATATGAATATTCTAATGTCAGTGAGGAACTTATCTACTGCTCTTCCTACTCATACAGCTGAAACGACTTTCTCAGAAAGAGGAGGAAACTGATTCTTTTGTATCTTAGAAGAACTCTCACTCCTCCAGATATTTTCAATTAGTAGAATTACCTGATTTATCAACAGTTAAATGTCTATATCCAACCACTCATTCTTCTCAACACATGCTGAAAATTAGCTGAAGGAAATATCACTTGTTTGGGGTGGAAGAAGAATTGGATACTTCTTGGCATCCATGATTTTTCATTTCATTGTCCATGCTACAGTAAAGATCAGTTGTCTATATTTTATATAATCAGATTCTCTTACATAAAATCATCTTTTGGGTTATTAGCCAGCACATGAAAAACAAACAGTGCCAGAGTATTTGGGGTAACAAGGGGATGCAGTTAAGCTGAATCTCAACATTTGTATTATCCAACTAGCTTAGCTAATGGTGAATCAAGCAGTCCAGCACTGAGCAAAGGCCAAAGATTACTTTTATATAGTGTGCTGTGTGAAGACACTATGTCTGAGCATCACATTTTTCAACAAAGTATCCCTTCTATCTGTCCATAATTACCCATTCAGCCAGAGTTGCCCAGTGGCGTTTATCTCTTAGATCTCCTGTTTTCTTTCCTTGACACAAGATTATTCCCTAAACATGCTTCCACTTACAAAACTCCCTTGCAAAAATCTGGTAGCATGTTGAGGGTCTGCTGCCCAGTAGCTTTATTGCTATTCCTATAGGCATTGGGGCTGAAATGAAAACCAGGAAATAAAATCGTGCTGGAAGGGATCTCAAGTTGTCATCAAATCCAGCCTTTTGTGCTGTGGCAGGACCAAGTAAACCTAGAGCATCCCAGATTAATGCTTGTCCAGCCTGTTCTTAAACACCTCCAGTGATGGAGATTCCATAACCTCCCTTGGAGAGCTAAACTATAACTATCCTTATAGTCAGAAACATTTTCCTAATATCTAACCTAAATATCCTTTGCTGCAGATTAAGTCCATTAGTTCTTGTTCTAAATTCAGTGAATGTGGAGAACAAAAACTCACTTCCTCTTTTTATAACAGCTTTTAATGTATTTGAAGACTGTTATTAAGTCTCTCTGGGTATGTCTACACTACCACCCTAGTTCGAACTAGGGTGGTAATGTAGGCAACCAGAGTTGCAAATGAAGCCCGGGATTTGAATTTCCCGGCCTTCATTTGCATCTTGCCGGGCGCCGCCATTTTTAAATGTCCGCTAGTGCGGACTCCATGCCACGCGGCTACACGCGGCACGGACTAGGCTTCCTATTCCGAACTACCGTTACTCCTCGTGAAATGTGAAACGAGGAGTAATGGTAGTTCGGAATAGGAAGCCTAGTCTGAACTACCTAGTCCGTGCCGCATGAAGCTTCGCGGCACGGAGTCCGCACTAGCGGACATTTAAAAATGGCGGCACCCGGCAAGATGCAAATGAAGCCCGGGAAATTCAAATCCTGGGCTTCATTTGCAACTCTGGTTGCCTACATTACCACCCTAGTTTGAACTAGGGTGGTAGTGTAGACATACCCTCCGTTATCTTTTCTCAAAACTAAACATACCATTTTCTTTCTTGTCTCAGTGGTGAGAGGTGAGGGATGAGGGGTTCTATGGGTGAGGGGTTTCTAGACATGCTAATCGTTTTTGTTGCTCTCTTTTGGACTTTCTCCAGTTTGTCCACATATTTTCTTAAGTGGAGTGCCTGGAACTGGAGGTTGTACTCCAGCTGAAGTCTCAGCAGTACAGAGTTGAGTGAGGCAATTCCCTCATGTGTCCAACATATTGCATTTCTGTTAATGTCCCCCAGAATATTAGCCTTTTTCACAACTGCATCACATTATTGATTCATAGTCAGTTTGTGGCCATTCTAATCCCCAGATTCTTTTCAGCAATACTAAAATTAAATTCTAGCCATCTTGTAGTTGTATGCTGGCTTTTTGCATCCTAAGTAAAGTACTTTTCACTTGTCTCTATAGAATTTCATCTTGATGAATTGAACTTAATCTCCAATTTATCAAGATCATTTTGAATTCCACTTCAACGTGCTTATAACCCTTCCCAGGTTGGTGTCATCTGCATCATTAATAGGGTTGCCAGGTGTCCGGTATTGACCAGGACAGTCCGGTATTTTCGCCTCTTGTCCGGTAAAAAAAATCAGAAAATACCAGACACCTAAAATGTCTGGTATTTTCTGATTTTTTTCCTGGCCAGGAGGCAAAAATCTCGGGTGCTTACCTGGTTCCGCAGGGAAGCTGTCAGGCCCGGAGCAGGGAGACAAGATGGCGGACAGACGCCAGCAGTCTGTTAGGGCCAAAAAGCCTCAAAAGCATTTTTAAAGGGGCCACGCTGTTTAAAAAATTTATATATATTTATTTTTATTTTTATTTTATTTGTTTGCTTAACTCTCG